TCAACCTCTGCCAGTCCCTTTCTAGACTTTTCTCCTCCATACATACTGTTTCTTGTCTGTCACACCCTTTGACCACCAGCCATACAAAACCCAGCAAGCTCCTAATTATGCATTAAGGCCCAGCTCAAACAGCCTCTTGTGATGGCATTTTGAATTCCTCCAGCAGACTGCTAGCTGGTTCCTTTGTGCTCTTAAGTCTCTGCTCAGCTCTGTCTCTCTACTGAAGACATTCTGATAACCTGTTCACATGCCCWTTGAATGTCATGGACTGTGACCTTGATGATCTGGACCAGGTATGTCTTCATGGTCGCAGGCATCCAGCGCAGAGCTATTRTTTGTACTGTATATCAAGTCATGCTAACACCTCAAGATTCTACCAGCACTCTAGCCTGAGACCAAAATACCTCTTACTGCACCAAATAGGATTTCACATCAAGTCAAACAGCAGATATATTTCACAGAGAAYATAAAAAAGGGCCAAAGGTATCTCCCTGGAACCAGGAGTCAGCTTTCATTAGAAATCTGCCTACTGGTCAGTTAAGTGGAGCCACTCAAGTTGGCAGCCAACAAGGTGTGACATCAGAGGCCTGCAGACCAGGCACCAAGCCTGATACTCCCACCCYGTCACCTGTGACCAGTTCATTTTCTGAGCTACACTGTAAAAAATCTCAGTCTATAGACAAGTGATGCCCAAAGGTTTTGGATCTTTCACTCCAGTCACTACCATCCTGGGRGAATTTGTTTTTCAGATTGGCCAGCTGGTGACCAAGGGGAGGGGATAATACCAGGAGACAGTGAGTATGAGGCCTGAAGGGAAAGGCAATGCTACACGGGGCATCTGCAGAACCTCAGATGTATCCATGGACTAGTTTTCACCCTTCTCCACCCTTCAAAGTGGTCCTGCCAGTGCCGTAGTGCACGCCTGCAAACCCAGCAACTCAGGAGGCTGAGGCAGGACTCCAAATTCAAGGCCAGCCTCAGCAACTTAGTGAGGCCCTCAGCAATTTACTTAGATCCTGTCTCAAAGTAAAAAATAAAAAGGGAGGTAACTCAGTGGTTAAGTGTTCCTTGGTTCATTCACCAGTGCGTGCACCCATACACACACACACACACACACACACAAAGTCCTTACTGGAGTCTTTCCACTGTCTATAACAAAACTGTGAGTCCTTGCATATACCAGGTGACCTCATCCCACTGAAGTGTGGGGGAAAAAATCTGCAAAAGCAAGCAAATTCAGAGGAATTACAGCTGTGTAAGACAGCTGCAGAGAAGGTCAGAGTGCACAGATGTGCAGGTATCTGTGCAAGGTAGCCCAGTCTACAGAGCAAGTGGCCCAGGGAATAGCAAGAGGGGGCTCAGCTTTCAAAGCCAAGGCTGCTTTYAGGAAAATAAGATTAAGTCAGTGAAGTGACCAGCTGTAACCTAGTATCCAGTGTCACATATAACTCACACAGGGTCCAAACCTGGTTCTCCAATACCCCATATGGGTCATTAGATCCCTTGAACAAGTTTTACCTTGAAGAGATCAACATTCCTCCTAACACTTGGTGAGAAGCTGTTCTCTTGCATCTAATTAAGTACAAGGTGAGACAGCTGGGGGGCTTATTCATCCACCCCCACTCACTGATTGGCTTCACCCTCTTTAATCGATGTACACTGTAAAGGACACATGCTTGGTAAAGACAAAATCAGGGTCATGAAGTTCCTGACCCCATGTCCACACCTCTCTCCTCCAAGCAGGGGTRTTGACTCCACCTCTACCCCCAAAGAGATAATGCTGTTCTAGCTCTGACTAAGCACACTTAGGCTTCATTTAGCATTGAGGTCAGTGGTGCTGGCCCAGCCTGTGRCAGACTACCTCAATGTCCTGCCCCTCTGTGGCTGTGGGGAAGGCAAGGAGAGGAAAGGAACAGGAGTTATATATGGAATGGCACAGCCTTAGATCACAAGTGTGATATAGATGAAAACCCAGAGAACTTAGGCTCTCATTAATGCACTCAACAAACCTCAGCTCACATGTACCAAGTGCTTACTATACGCCCAGCTCTGGGTTAAGACCTTTACCAAAACAGTGTTAAGAGTGAGTGTTCTACAATCCAGATGTCTATGCAAATCCTGACCCCACCATTAATGAATTGTATGATGGTGGACAAGCTACTTAGCTTCTCAGTGTCTCCATTTCTTTTCCAATAGGACAATATCAATACTAATTTTAAAGAGACATTATAAGGATTGAGTAAAAACTCATAAAATGCTAAACTTAAACCACAGAGTAGGCACTTAGTCCCAAGATGAGCAATTATGATCCCATTAGTTAGTCATACTAGTCTACAGAGAAGGCAGAATATTTCTTCAAATTTTACCAATAAACCTTTGAAAGACTGAGTTAACTTGCTCAAGGTCACAGAGTTAACAAGTGACAGAGCTGGGAAATGAATGCAGGCAAATGGACCTCAAAGCCTGAAAGTGTGCTCCCYGCCCCCCAACTGGGAACACAGCACTATGCAAGGTTCAAGGTATATAAAGACCAGTTGAGAGCKAAGCAAGAGATCTCTACATGGTGGAGTACACACTGTAAGAGAGTTATTGAATGAAAAAAAGGTGGAATGGGTGGAGCAGCAGGGAGCAACAGAATTGTCTTAGAAAGCATCATCCTTAAGGAGACTTGAGTTCTAGTCTCAAAGAATGGTAAAGAATTTGCCAATCAAGGAGAAAAAGGAACAGTCCAGAAAGTAAGGCCAAAAGAGCAGTGAGTTAGGAGATATGGCAGAAGCACAGAGAAAGTGGCAGAAGTGAGGGTGGGAGGGCTGGCTAATTTCAAAGAGCCATGTGTACAAAGTCAAAGGTTATATTTTATTTTGTAAAGAMGATGATTTTCCAACCTGGACAGAGRAGTCACCTTTAATGCTTGAAAAACACCTGCCAATCCMTGTTCTTTCRGACCAATAAGAATACGAGCCAGTACAAAGAAGAATGAAATTATGTCAYTTGCAAGAAAATGAAGGGAACTTGAGAGCATTAGGGTAGGCAAAATAAGCCAAACTCAGAAAGTCAAGGATTGTCTATTTTCTCTTCTGTGCAGAAGCTAGAGAGGAAAAAAGAAAGGTGGGGGATCTCATAAAAATTAAGGGGAGACTAGTAAAGGATAGGGGGAGAGATGTGAGAAGGGAAAAGGAAAATACTGGGGAAAGATATTGACCAAATTATATTGTTACATTGTGTGCATTATGAATATGTAATAATGAATTCCACTATTGGGTAGGATTATAATGCATCAATAAAAATRTTGAAAATTTTCTTAAAGTAAATAAAGCAAAACAAATGAACAGAAAAGAGTATGAGGCAATAGAGTAGATGTTCTGATTTGGCTTAGCAACAAATTCTGGTTCTGGAATGAGGGGAGATAGGAGGACAGAGACTGGTATAATCAGACAAACAGGAGCAGATGAAAGGGGAGAGCTGGAAATAATGGCACTCTTTGACCTGATACATTAAGCTAGGGTTTCTCAACCCACACTATTAATATTTTGGAACAGATAATTCTTCCTTGAGGGGTGATGGGCTGTCCTTTGCAACATAGAATACTTAGCAACATCCCCTGATCTCTCCCCGCCCCATGTGAATAGCATCCTCCCCACTTTATGGTTAAAATGGTCTCCAGACATTCATTACCAGATGTCTCTTGAGGGGCAAATCAAAACCCCAGTTGAAACAATTGCTTTAAAACCCTATCATCCCAACTTTACCGATGAGAAAGTCCAGTTACAAAAAGTACAGGAAGGAAGGCATCAGCATCTGCTGGGATTCAAAGGCTGGTRGTCTGGCTCCAGGACCTGTCCTGATCCAGCCTTCTGTGACAGAATTATAGATTTGGTGACAGGCTGGATGGCAGGGAAGGAAGGGATGAGAAAGTGAGATTCAGCTGGCCACTCCATTGCAAGGATGTCTGAGTTTGAACAAAAAACATCAAGACATACTTGTTCAAAAAGGGAAAAGCCTGGTCCCCCATGGTCTGAGCAAGCAGGAGGCGGCTCAGAGGGTACAGAGGAACCCTCTACCGCTGGACTAGGTTTTGTGTATAGCACAGACGATCTGGGATCTAAATGCTGGCTGGGCCCTTTCCAAACTGTGTGGCCCTGGGCGACTACTTAATCTCCCTGCATTTCACTTCGCCCATTTGTAAAAAGGAATAGGAGACCCTATTCATAGGCTTGATGTGAGAGCTCAGGCAGTTAGAGCAAAATGGAAAGTTAGYGCTACATGATCGATTCTGCCCCCTCTTTCCGAACCTTTCCTTTACCTCCGCGTTCCATAGAGCCCCATATCGTGGGCACCCCCGAGTCGGTGAGACCCCCTCACCCGCAGATTAGCGGTGTGGAGCTGACTGCACCCCTCTCCACTAGCAGAGCATCCCATTGAGGCTTTAGGGGGCGCCAACAGCCTTTTCACTCCTCAATGCAACTCTGATTTCAGGGTCGGTGGGTGGRGGTGCGCCCAACGCGCGCCAGGAGCTGGGTGCCTCCAAAACAAGCCAGGTAAATAGTTCAACTTGGCGACACTTAAATTTCATGCAGGTAAACCCCGGGCAGGCCCGAGGTCAAAGCCAGTCACTGTCGCGGGGCGGGTGGCTCAGCCCTGCTCCCGGAGGTGGAGGAGAGAGGCGCCCAGATTTGGAAAGGACCAGGAGTCCGAAGCCAGGCTGCAGAGATGGGGAGCAAAGAGTTGTTTGATATCGAAAAAGAAACGTATGGAGCAAAGGGAGCAACAGGGTAATAGTAGGAAGAGGAGGAAAAAAAAGAAAAAGAAAATGCTAGGAAGCAAGTGATCCCTGGGGGACTCAGCCTACAACACCTGGGCTGGGGTTCGAGAACAAAGCAGCAGTTTCAGGTCCTAAGTGTTCTGGGTGTTTCCGAAGAGGGGGCGCTCGGGAGAAGCCGGGGCCCGCTGGGAAAGCCCGGCACCCCTGCGCCCTGGGCGCGCTCTGGGGCGCCGCTTACCTTCGCCAGGACCGCAGGCGCGCACTTCCGGGGGCTGCACTCCCGGCGCTCGRGGGCCGAGCCGGGGCACCCGGAGCCGATCACCGAGGAAAGGACGCGCGACAAAGCGCCGCTCGGGTTTGGGTTGGCACCGGCGTCTCRGAGAGAAATCCCGGCCACCCGCACGGGTCGGGCCTGAGCTGGGCACACGGAGTCCCGGCCTCRGGGCTCACGGACAACTGTGCTGAGCCCCGCAAACGCTGCAGGAGCCCGAGTCCGTGGGAGGAAAAGGTTGTCTCATTTCCTTCGGTCTCTCCCCTCCTCCATCCCCTCGGCTCTGGACCTGCCCTCCCTCTCCCCCGCCCCCTTCCCCAAGCCAGCGGCCCATGTGGGATCTCGCAAGACAAGAAACCTGAACGGCAGCGGCGCGCGGCGCCTCCCTCCGCGCCAAGTTAGTTTGCGTTCCCAACTCCTGCCTGCTTCCCCGCGCTTCCGACAGTCTCCAAAGCCAAGAGACTCCCCAGCGGCTGTCCCCACCCTGTCCTGAACCTTCCAGCAGTTCCCCCTTCTGTGACAAGCTCAGTTTTGGAAGCAGACCTCCAAGCTCTTGCCAGCATCCATCCTCCCATTTCTGTCCTGTCGCCTGCTTTGAACCGTATTAAAATACCCAACTCAGACAGGAAATAGCCACTTACTTTGTTAAATTTGATCAACTGTATTTTTTTTTCCCGAGTGAAGAGTTTACAGCCTGATGCATAATCTCGAAGGAATGCTCATTTTTATGGGAAAGAGAGCAGCTGAAGCCTTTGGCCTTGCTCACTCAGGTTTGAGGTTTTGTTCGTTAAATTCGACAAGTATTTATTAAGAATCTGATGGGGCCCGAGCTCCGGTGTTGGAAATGCAGAACCGAAACCAGAAGGAGGGCATCCTGTTCCTAGACAATCATCACAGGTCACAAATGCAGGGAAGATGAGATCCCCACGGATGCTGTCATGGGTCGGGGAGTGGGTGAGCTTTCTGCTGAGTGAAAATAGACTGGGCAGAGGCAAGAGGGAAAGAGCCCCATCAGGAGGCAGTCCAGCAAAGGACAAAGGTTGTGAATGATCTTGAGGAACAGGGAAAAATACAGGACAAGTCCATCAAGAAAGGATAGGAGCTAAGGGGGGCAGTACAGTAGAATCCTATATCTGATGAGGAAGGACTGTTATGGGGTGGAGATGTGGAGAGACTGAAAGAGAGCAGGAGAGAAGTGACTCCCAGGACTCTGGGTGGAGTAACAAGTACCAGTGGTTGACCAAAATCTCAGCACCGACTGGACCTGCTACTGGAAGTGTGGTCCAGGAACAGACAGTATTAATAGAACATGGAAAACTTACTAGAAATGGAGATTCTCAGGACTTCCTTGATTTACTGAACAGAATCTGCATTCTAACAATTCCCCAGGTGATTCAAGGATTCAAGTATGCCTTACAATTTGGAAACATTGTTCTCTAGACCACTGACTATAGACCTCCATTCCCTGGCTTTATATTAAAAACACCTGGGAAACTTTTAAAACCACTAAGAACCCCCAGCTCCACCCACACAAATACTTAATTAGTCTGGAGTGGGGCTCCCATATCAGTATTTTGGAAATACTCTTCAGGTGATCTAATACAGAGTTGAGAAGCAACTAGACTACTCAAGAGCTACTCCATTTAACTTGACACCTTGACTTGAAAGGAAAACAGCACCCGTTTAAATGAAAGCGAAAATACGAGTTATCCTGCTCTCACGAAGAGACAGACAAATCAAGGAACCAGGTTCTAGCCTCAGACAATCACTAAATTACTATCTTGAACTTGGGTAAGCTCTTCTCCCTCAGATACACTTTCCTTATCTGTAAAAAGAACACACACTTGACTGACTCCAAATTCCATAGCCCAGCATGCAAAGTGCCATCAGCAGAGCACTCTCTAACTCACCAACTTTATCAGCAGGCAGCTGGAGAGGCATGGCCAAAGTCAGGTTTCCTGACATAGTGCTATGTTTGCCAGCCCAGGACACAACCAGCACCGGAGAGTTCAGAGATTTGTGCACTGAGCATAGGGCCACACACAACTGGTGCTCAGTAAATGTATGATGAATGAATGAATGAATGAATGAACGAATGAATATGGCACAGTTGCCAGTGGGTGAATATAGAATTGCTAGGGGGCCATTTGGCTCTAGACTAAGTTCTAGTGACCACTGGTTCTGTTCATTTCCTCCCCCCCAAGCTGGAGAAAGGATCCTGGAAGCACTCGGACCCAGTCTAGCTTTAGATGTGAAATTACTCTGACTACTAAGAACTGGCAATATATGTTAAACAATACACATCAGTCATTAGGCTCAGTATTGTTTATTTATTTATTTATTTTAGCAGTGCTGGGACTTGAACCCAGGGCCCTGTGCATGCTAGACAAGCATTATACCACTGAGCCAAACTCCCAGCCCCTGAGCATCCTACTTTATAAACATTGCCTTATTTTTGTTAAAATGAAGCAAATGCTGTTGAACTTTTGAACTTCATCACCTTTTAGGAATAACAGGTATGAAAAAACTAGAGCTTCTATATAGGGTAGCCCCTGCCTCTGTTGTGAAGCAGAACATCAGTGCATCTGTTGCTGGCCAGAGAGCCTCCTTAGGGCTCCTACACATCATTCTCCAGAGCAGGCATTCTTGAATGGAAACAAATCTTGAAAGAAGTGACTGCTCCAGGATCCTACACAGGCAGATGCTTGCAGGGGCTAAGTCAGAGGATCTGTGGGCTATGACTGAGTCTTAGAGGAAGATCCCCTCAGGAACTGGGGATGTAGCTTGGTGGTAAAGTGTTTGTCTGGCATGCATGAGGCTCTGGGTCTGATCTCCAGCATCACAAAAATTAATACATAAAATTTTAAAAACACTAGTCAAAGAGGAAATCATACTGGAAATTAAAAAATATATTTTTTTAAAAAAAGAAGACTCCTCAAAGTACCCACTTCCTGGTTGTGTGTGTGTGTGTGTGTGTGTGTGTGTGTGTGTATGTGTGCGCGCTCGCGCATGTACCTCTGCCTTTATGGAAATTCTCAATTATAGATACAATTATATCTTTTCATTTTCACAGCATCTTGATGGGTAAGTACTCTTGTTCTCTCTCATTTTATAAATAACACTGAAACATGAGGTGAACCTTTTTTCCTAAAGCCCAAGTTTCTTAAGTTCAGTCTGCTGCCTCCATTGACCTCATCCACTACCACCCTTCCCACCTCCTTCCAGGGAGGAAGAATCCTCATTGAAATTCACTTATTATGGTTACAGGTCATTGGAACTCTCAGTAACCTATTTCCTCACCTGTAAAAGAAAGCTCCCTTGATTGTGTTTTTATTAAGCTACTGTGGCAGCTCCACACCATGTTGCCTGAGAAAAGATCAGAGGAGATAACCCACAGACTAAGAAAAACTGAAAACCCTGGGGTGATCTATCCCAAGAGGATAGGTGTGGTGCTTCCATGAAAGCACAACTAATTTCCATCTAATTTCCAGCTAATTTCCATCCCTAGAGGAATAACAATAAAGAATTAAATACCGATTAAGACTCCCAGTTAAACCAGGTATGGAGACACACACCTGTAATTCTAGCTATTCAGGAGGCTGAGGCAGGAGGATCACAAGTTGGAGGCCAGCCTGGGCAACTTAGTGAGACCCTGTCTCAAAATAAAGAATAAAAGGGACTTGAAAATGTAGCTCAGCAATAAAGTATAGTGAGTTCAATCCTCAGAATTACAAAAAATAAGAAATAAATAGATAAGACTTCAGATTAGACAGGAGGAAGGGACACGAAGCCCCTATGCTAGACCAGGGCAGAGGCTTAGTGGCTGCCTTATGAAGCCGCTCAACCAGGCCTTGCAGGGTTTGCTGGGATGGCCTTCAGGGCAGAGGCAGTCAGGGAACAGAAGATGAGTGGAAATGCACAGGATAACCCAGGCAGAGCAGAGGAGGGGTCCATGTGCACAGTGTGCGGCTATGGTTCTAACCAGAAGTGGGGAACTGAAAGGGGTTCATGGCAGGAAACCAGGATCCACAGCTCAGGATCCATGCCTGGGTTCAGGCTCAGGGCTGTGATCTGGGGCTTTCAGAGTGAGAGCCTTATTGATGTGGGCAGATGGTGCCAATCGGCTGGGCCTCCCTGCAGAGTCCACAGGGCTCTCAAGTCACTGGCGATCAGAGCAGGGAACCACCATCCCTCATACAGGCCAACCCATGGAGAACATCTAGACCCATGGGCCCCTTAAGTTCATACAGAGGAAGCATGGTGGTTCAAAACTCAGTGAGAGTAGGCCATGGCTTTCCCTCAGAGGCTCAAATATCATGAAGATAAGAGCTAATGGGAGGATCACTACATCCATGTCATCATGGGCCCTATTGATTAGCTACTGTTAGACATGACCCCAGCCACAATGCTGCTGCTTCTATTTTCAAACTTCCATCTGTGTTTCCAATGACAGCAATTTGATGATTTGACATAAGCTCACTGGGGCAAATTTCTGCTAGTTTTTGCTTCAAACAAAAGCACAACCCCAGACTTTATCATCATTTTACTAATGAGCAAACTATGGTCTAAAATCCAAAGGTGAATCACACACACACACACACACACACACACACACACACACACACACACCTCACACACACACACAAAAGCAGAGCTCCAGCTGAATTAGAGTGAGACCTTTAGACATCATGAATCACCCAAAAATGATGAGCTGCTGAAGGGACCACAAGATGCCTACAGTGAGATATGTCCAGAAATGTCCTCACCCCAGAATCGTGTAGACATTTATTTATCAGTGCAATTCAACATACCTGTCACTTCCTGGAAACTGCCTGCCCTTCACAGAGAACTGTCCTAGATACCGTAGGTAACCTTGCTGCATATTACACCCGATCTCACCTGGGAAGTGTGCTCAGATTGCAGGATGAGTTCCAGACCAGAACAACTGAGTCAGAATCTCTAGGGTAGAATTTTTTTATTTTTATTTGTATTTTTTTAATGCTTTACAGGTAATTCATACATGTAGTCAGGATGCAGAATCACTTTTGTAGGAAATGTAGAGAAAAAAATTTGAGTCCTCACAGATAGAGGAGATTATAAATCAGTAAGGAGTTCAGTCTAGGAATGGGTTGTTTCCAAAAGTCATCAGGAAAAGGAAAACACCAAAATCACTCCCCCATCCAAGGCATATTAAGCAATGCCTGCAGAGTTCGGGGGAGCATCCCTGTAATCACAGCTACTAGGGAAGCTGAGG